TGGTGTCTTCCTTTTTACGATGTCGTCTTCCCATGATGTATTATCTCAGGATATTGTCATTTCCATTCCAGGATGTCTTCATCCTTCGATAAAACATCTCATGGTGTCGCCGTATTGCCTGTAACATGTCGTCATCCTGAGATAAGATTTGTCAGGATCCCGACAAGTAGGATGGCACTTCCAGAGCTAAGTATGCTTCAGTGTTAATTCGTGCATTTGATACTAGACGCCTCGACTATTGTGACAGTCTTTTGTACGGTTTGCCAATAGCACAGATATGATGAGATAGCGAGTCCAAAATGCTGCAGCTAGAATTCTTACGAATCCACCCGCCAATATCGCATCACCTTCGCCAGTTACCTGTTTTGTACAGGATTAACATTAAAATCACTTGATTAACATACAAAGCAATACATGGTCTTGACCGTAGACATGTTTACAGGATCTTGTCAGTATGAAGGAGGAGTCTAAATATCATCTCAGGTCAGTAAACAACGGCCTTTTATTGATTAAGTTATCCTAGTGGTACAATGTTACCCATACTTGGTGACAGGGCACTTGCGATGGCTGCTCCTAAGTCATGGAATGCCATGCCATGGCACAAAAGGAGCAAACAGAGTTGCCGTTTTCAAATGTAGAGTTAAAACTTGCCTTTTCAAAGATGTATTGCATGATGATGTTGCACCGCAAGGTATTTGAGTTTTATCGGTTTTATCCAGTAGGTATTTTGATTTTTAGCTTTAGTGCAGGTTTAGCTGTGATTTTCTCATTTTAGTGTCTGGTAGTTAGCTTTCTTATAGCGTAGGTAGGATTAGAGGCGCCAATTTCCGGGGAAGATCGAGACATCTCAGATGCCAGCAGGGGTTAGGTCCAGGTAGAATTACGGTATTCTCCCTGTTGGCGGAACAGACATATCCTCATGATGCGGTTTGGCGCTGCTGTGGTGATATTCATTCATTACTTAAATATCCATTTATTTCCCGAAGTTGAATGTGCACTGCACTGTTATAAATTATAAAATTTTAATTATTATCATTACTATCAGGATGTCGGTTCACGTGCACCCACATGCAAAAATCATGAGTACTGTGTTATAATGGCAAATCTGCTTTTCGAAAAGTATGTGTTAAAAATTCCACAGTGCAAAACTTTAAGAACCGAGCTTTGAAGTGTGAGTTTCTCATAAATCCACTCCAAAAGAGTAAAAGCTACTTTCAAAGAATGAACACCGCTCTGGAGTGAATGCCTGTCAAGTTTGTAAAAATCACTCCAAAAGAGTGCGTCGATTACTCCGAAAGAGTGAAACAAATACTCTTAAACAGTGAAATAAACTCCACAGAAACTCTAAAAGAGTGACGATTACTCTAAAAGAGCGAAAACCACCCTGGAAGAGTGAAAACCGCCCCGAAAAGGTGACAACCACTCCATAAATGAGTAGCAGTTACTCAAAAAGAGTGAAAACAACTCCGTAAAAGATTGGTGGTTGCTCTATAAGAGTGACAAACACTAAGTAAAAGAGTGGCGATTACTCTACAAGAGTGAAAATCACTCAGAAACAGACTAGAGATAACTCTACAAGAGTGAAAACCACTCCATAAAAAGAGTGGCGGTTACTCTACAAGAGTGACAACCACCCCATTAAAAGAGTAGCAATTACTCTACAAGAGTGAAAACAACTCCATAAAAGATTGGTGGTTACTCTACAAGAGTGAAAACCACTCAAAATCAGACTGGGGATAACTCTACAAGAGTGGAAACCACTCCATAAAAGAGAAGCAGTTACTCTACAAGAGTGACAACCAGTCCATAAAGGATTGCCAATTACTCAACCAGAGTGAAAACCACTCCATACAAGAGTGGTGGTTACTCTACAAGAATGAAAACCACTCAGTAAAAGAGTGGCAATTACTCAACAAGAAGGAAAACCACTCAATATCTAGATTGGGGATTACTCTACAAGAGTGACAACCCCTCCATACAAGAGCACTGCCTTTTTTAGTGGAGAAGTAAGGTGATCAAGGAGATTTGAGGTCATCGTGAAGATGAAGATATGCTTTGAATTTCAGTTGGATATTTCGTGTGAAGTCTAAACCACAAATTGTTTTGATTTGTTGGAAGGAAATCGAGAAATTCGTTTGGATTTTCAAAAAATAATTATGGATTTGATTACTTGTTATTCCTAATAAAATCATATGTATTGTCGAGCAGATATGAATTAAAAACACGTCCGTAGGAAGATACTCAAAGAAACTTTTATGTTCCTCGGGGCGCTTGGGCCACTTATTCACACCTCGTACATCTTTAGCATGTCTCAACACACTGATCACAAACTACACTACTTTTTACAACGGCCCCCTCTCCAAGTGCGTGGTGTACAAACCTACTGCACCGAAGGCAACGGGTCTCACCGGCCGACTAGTGGTTCCTTACTTGCGCCCTCTACTGCCATCCGGCATAATGTAGTCCATCTTTGTTTACTTTTCATTGCATGATTCAAGTTTATTTTATAACATTTTCTGAGTGATTTTATCTTTTATTAGTTGAGTTTGTTCATTCACTATATTTTGATTTGAACTTTACCTCTTTTTCTTTCAGTCTTAACATTACTTTTGCCCGTCTGTCTAGGGTGATAAACGACCCAAAACTTTGGTTTTGCAGTTGCGCTGTTCCTGCTACGTGTTACAATGACATCAAAAGCTGTGTTATAAAAAGAGTTGCGACATGGGTGTCTCAACTGTTTGCATAAAAACGATGGATTGTGCATCAGTGCTCAAGGACAATTAGCACACGATTAGCTTCATGCTGTATTGCACACATGAATGAACAGCCATTTTGGAAGGGCCATTTTTGGACAGCCATTTCAAAGTCTGATGTTGGCGCTACACTCTCTATAATGCACAACGCGTGTGACATAACAGCAAAAGCCCCCTCAGTCGTAAGGAAAAAAGTGGGTGATTTGAAATGCGGGGGTAAAGTGCATTTTTAGTACAGCAAACTGAAAAGATTTCAAATAAGTTCAATATTTTAACATTGAACAGGAATAAGGAATTGCACTTAACAAAAGAGTGACCAAGATAATTCATTTTTTATAAAGGCACACGCCCGCCGCACTGTGGACACTGACCTCATGTAAGGTTGCAGAGCAGTAAACAGCGCTGCCATGCCACGCACAACTGTGATTAATACTACCAGACACAAAATCAGGGAAAAAAAATCACGGGTTCCTCGGGTGTTCAAGACCAAATTCAGATTGAAGCTTATTCCCTCATATTCCCTCTAATTTTTTCGTGGCTTAACCGATGACTTTGGAAGATATTTTTTCTGCGGACACCCCTGTAAGCAGTTGCGAAGCCCGTTGCCATTACAATTAATGCTTTCATCCCCACTGCAAAATAGGACAATCTGGGGCCCTTTTTCCGGTATTTTTAGAAATGCAAGCCAGCAGTCCTGCGGATGGACTCCATCCTGTTTTTACATACCATCCATTTTGCGTACCACGAAATGCTCTATGAACTTGACCTTTTTCCTGCAGGCAATTTGGAGGCTATCCGCTCCGAGCGGAACAAAAGAGGGACTGTTTTTCAAATGAAACTGACAGTCCTTTTGGTACCAACTCAACGCGAAGGCGCGCAAGTTGACTGCGCCTCTGACGCGGAGCACGCTGAGTTCACGCAACAAATTTATTCTGGAACGTATGGTCTTTGCGTACACGCAGAACGCGTGCAAGAACCTGGCTGTAACCATCTATCATTCTTTCGCCGATTGGGGTGCAATTGACAATAAAAAAAAACAATAAATCTACTGATTCCCTTTCTGGCATATGCAATACCTATGTACAGCATTGCAAAAACCTGTAATCGTTTTCAATGCAGTATAAAATATTTGACAATGTAGTTGCAGGACATGTACAATCCCAATACTACTTCTTTTGATGTGGTACAATCTCATTGTGGCATCCTACAAGAAAATAAAGTTCATTTACAAGTTTAAGGCCCCATCTTGATCTTACCCTGGCTATAGGGGCTCTATGAGACCTTCACACAAGTACAACTCCAATGCATTATTGGTGGTTGATTATAAAGGAAAATTAACTTGGCTCAATGTCATTCCATTGACATAATTCATTTTAATTAATAGAAAATAACGAATAAGCTCTGTCCAAACATTTTCGATTCCTCTTTATTTCGTAGCATTTTGAAGAATGACCCTACATTGTTCGTCTGGGTTCCCTGTTGCCTGTTCCCGGCTGCTTGCCGAAAATGGGCTGCGTGTGCAGGAATCTAAACAATTTCAGTGAGTCATTGTACAGTTTCCATGCAGGAGTAAAAGACCAACCCGGACGTTGGGTGGGGAATACAGGTCACTATTCATACACAAAAGGTCCACCCTTTCCCACAAGTCGATGAAAAGGAATGGCCTTGCTGTATAAACACCTCATCATTCAGGCGAACTCTGCCGTGACACCCTCCTTCAGTTCCAAATCTAAACTGAAAATTTTTGTATCCGTCTGGCAGTGGCCAAACAAAATAATTTAACAAAGCATGAAACTTGCAGTTGCACAAAAAAACTATCGCTGTCGCTCCCGTTTCAAAATATACCGTGACACACTTAAGGAAGATTGGTATTATTTTTGTTTCATTTGAAACAAATCCAGAGCTACCCTAATTCTGTTACCACTTTTGACCATTCCTAAGAATCCAATAACGTCGTTTCCTATCATTGACTAAGCTTGATAAGAGAAGCACAGGCCATAGAGGAGGCTTAATTACCGGAACCCAAAGTTTGCAAATTGTAAGTACACATGGCTTTTCTGCGGGAAAGTCGGATTTCAAGTGAAATGAAATATTGAAGTCAAATTAAACAGACTTATTATTATATTTACATCTGCTTGCCGGTGTGTTTGAGTGTATTTGTACGTTATAAACAATAACAGAACCATTTCGTTCAAGGAAGCTGCTCTCTACAATTGTTAATCGAATAATACCAAAAATAAAAACAATGTTCTCGGAAGAGCATATATCCCCATCACACCGGTTTGAGTTGTAAGTGCTGCCTTTAACAAACCAACGACATGGCAATTACAAAATGCTTATTGGGCTGTTTCATTCCACACGTGGTTGTTTTCATTAGTACAATAATCACTAAACACAAAGCAACATGAGAGTTTTCGTGTTTTTGATTCAGGTAAAACTTCTGGCAGACCCTGAAAGGCTTTTTCACAGCTCCATTAAATCGCTGTCAACAAATTACCGTATAATTATGCTAAATTCACCACACACGTATGCTTAACTGAGCAATCGCATTCAGCACGATGGATCTGTACGGTGTGATGAGTTTCTGTACAGGCCTTTTTCAGCCCCACGACTGGATTGTGCTAAATGTAAACGATACAACCACGTGTAGACCGCCATGGCCACGGTGATTGCATACATTCCAATGGCAGCTTCAACCACGTACATGTACAAGCACACTTGCGAACACTGCATGCTTGACAAGTTTTTTTGTGGAATAAGTAGGTTACCATCACAACAGTATCCACCTTTACCATCACAACACATCAAACAGTGTAGGCCCAGCACGATCGTGAATGGCACATCACAGGAAAAAGGTCTGTAGGCGAAAGGGGCCATTCGTAGTTTTTCTCGAATCTATTAATCAATACGACAGGGTTCATGGTCCCATAATCATGCTCCCGTAGTTGTTCTTTATTCATTAATTAAGCACCCGGAGAAAGGAAGGAGCCAGACTATTTTACTATCATGACAGGTATAGCCCTGTTTTAAACAAAATAGCCATGAAGGAATAAATCCTTAATCTGGAACCTTCCCATCGGAGTACAATGACAGTAATCTGTAATTTGTCACCATAACATCATCTTCAGTGTCACGCTTATTAGGTTTGCAGACTTTTTTTGTTTTTTTTTTTTACGGAGAATGTCTCGCTCTCGATTCAAGATGGCAAACTCCTAAAAAAAGTACAACTCAAAATTTCTACCCTGAAGCTAAGCCTGACACTCTTCAAAATGATGACGAAGTGTAAAGGTAAAATACCTTTGTCGCTGTTCTTCCTGGTACTCAGCACTGGTCTTCTGAAAGGTCCTGTGGAAGGACTTCAAGAGACTTGGGGAAGAAATCATGATCTACACGACCTCTTCGACTAATCAGACCAAAGCTGCTTTAAAGGGCTGCTGCAGTAAATGTCTTTGAACACAAACCTTCAAGATGCACCTTTGTGCCTCAGTTAACCTTATTTTCAACTTTTATACGTATTTTCACAATCGTGAGCAAAACTGTGACGCCATCCTATGAAGAAGACACGATAGAACTTTGGTTTGTAAAGAAAAATACCTGCGTTTTTGTAAATCTTTCTGGATTCTATTTTCTCCATTCTTTGTTGATTCATTGCTGTTCGTATATGCATAACAAGCATAAACCCCTTTCTCAGAAATGTTGTCAGTGTAAGTAAATTCTAGGTTCACAATATTAACAAAAGACATGACTGAAATTGAAGTTAAATTTACCTTTTAGACATACACCAATGCAGAAAAAAAACGAAATATTTTCTACCTATTCGAATACACACGTGCTCAATACAAAACATGTTTCAAGTATTGATGGGCACAATAGTTGGCAATTGTCGTTAAGGTTTTTGGTTTGTATTTTTTATTTCTGAACATGTTTCGTATTGCTTAGTTGAAACTTTCTGAACATGTTCACAGGTTTAAGCCAAGTTGTGTTTACTACGAAACACACTTCACAGAGTGAACCTCAGTCCAAGTCAAAAAACCTTGGGACATTTACTTTTCTCCTGTGCTGCTTTTTTTTCAACAGCACCGACTCGGCCCAAATCCAGATCAAACCAACCCAAGTTGTAATATTTCACGACATTTGCATAATGCGCTTCAATACGTTGAGCGCAGTCTCTGTGGCCCTCGGGAGACGCACACCACGTGCCGAGGTGTTCCTGAATTAATAATTTCTCTTGCCAGCAGAACTCAAATAGCTGAAAGTTGGTGACATTTTCGAAGGGTTTGCAGAAGGCAGGCAGGGTGCTAACGTACCGCTTGGCGACGCAGTATCCCTGTAGCAACGGGTTGGGAAGCTTGTCGTAGTACCCTTTGTGTATGGAAACCTGAACATCTGGTACAGTCTGACTGGGTTTGATTTCGAAACCAGGAGGGACATGATCCTTGTTGTATGATTTCAAATCATTGTTAACATCTAAATGCCAGTCATAACGATCATGCTCAAAGTAGAAGGCGTAGTTCATGATGACGTTGACAGGGCTGAGATTATAAAGATTTCGAAAAGCGTCCTCGAAGCGAGTTACCTGCAGAGAGTGATAAGTAAACGGTGTTTGATTGTTTTTCTGATTTGACCAAAACCATAATTATAGGCCTACTAGCACTGTAAAAATAGATGCCTTTTGAACTAATTCTGGGATAGAATCAAGTCAGTGGCCATTACCCAGCATCGTAATCAAAGTAATAACTAGTTTGACTTACATTCATATGCCGTGATATGTGGTTCCTGCAATTAATGATGGTATCTCGCCAAATATAGACAGGAAAGTATGTCATGAAGTCCGCCACCATCTGCTTGCCAATTGCACGTTCTGTTGTTTGGAACCAATTGAGATCATGTAGTCTTTTCCAGTCTTGAGTGATGCTCACCACCCGTAGTCGTTGTCCGTTGACGATGTTTTCGGGGGTGACAGGCGTCGTGAATACACCGTCTGTGTCAATCCAAGCAATGATGGAGGCGTCGATGAACAGATCCATCATGAAACTGCTCCAAAGCTGCCGCCCATAGCCGAGGCCTAGACGCGACTTCAGTACGGTCTTATGGTCTTGAGGTAGAGGCTCGTATATGACGTTAAACTTGAAGCCTAGTTCGTGCTCCTGCTGGACCAGCCTAGCAGCAAACTTGCGGTCGCCTTTGGAGCCCTTGTCCAATATCAGACTGATGGGCCCAAGTTTTGGTGACCAGAACAGCACAGCAGATCGCAAGAGGTCACAAAAGAAACGCTTTTTAAACTTCACTGTGCTTGTCATGCGGATGGTAAGAGTGATGGTATGACTCTTTGTTACGTTCAAATCGGGCTCTTTTACCACATTCGTTTCAGCTGTCGACATAGACACAGACCGATTTGGGAAAGCCATCTGACGTTTCGTTGACGGAGCTCTTATGTACTGAACACCACTAATTGAAAATCTTTGGTTCAAGGCTGCTAAAACGATTACTAATATGATCAGATAACCAAGGAATGCACTCACTAACACCCGCCCTCGCGCCATGTCGATGTTGCATTTGACGTAGTTTTAGGTTCATTGAGAAGATACTTTCTATAGCCGGGACGCGTGACACGTCGGCGTGGGAGTGGGTGGACTAGTACACCGATTGTAGGTCATCCTACGTCAGAACTTTTGCACTCCTAACTGCTCGTCACTACGGAGTCTCTGAGCGGCCAGATGATGAAAACAAATTAAGGACACCAAAATAACCTAAATTCTTCATTTTGTGAGCCTAAAAACCATTTAGTGTACTCGAAATGAATCATTTTCTACCCAAGAAATAAATCATTTTGTGTGCTCGATGTCATTTCTGATATTAATTTTCACATTAATTTAAGTGTAAAAAAGGTTTCAGAAAGTACATGTAAATATGAAAATATACATTCGGAATGAATGACTTGATGTTAACACAGGAAGCTCTTGCATGTGTATGGCTACACCGATAACTTTGAAGCCTGTCAAGTTCTGCCAAATCATAATATGTTAGAATTTCCTCTAGCTTTCTACAAGATTTTACCGAAGTCACTTTGAGTAAAAGCAAAATATATTTTTAAACTTGCAGAACTGGGGTACCGGTCTTGTTCAAGAATACCTGTTTATGTTAGTGGAGAAGTTAGGATTTCAGTATTTGTCAAAGAAATAGTGATGACATTGTGCAAGTAAGATACTTTTTTTCATCGTTGAAATCAGTGTTCCAGTTATTTTTTGTACAAATGAGGAAATCGTAAAGAATGTGACACAACGACACAGGGACTTGGACCTTACTTATCCCTACGTTACTTATCTTATGAATAACTACTATCATTTTCTTTGCTCAAAATGAAGCAGCATTGCAAAAACTCTGGTGTTAAAAACAACACTTATTGGTGTTATCACATGGCCACACCAAAATGTGGTACTTTACTCCAATGGCATTACTTTACATACCTGTAAGTGTTACAATGCACTGAAACGTATTAAAAGTAACACAAATCGTGTTGAAATGACACCAACAATTCGTTGGTGTTTTTACAAAGTGACAAAAACTCCGAAATCAAGCCAAACGGACAATCCAAGAAAAACGTGTTTGAAAATACCAGCCTTTTTCAATACACATTTTGCGGAGGTGTTCATTTACAACATCGTTAGCACCCATGTGTACACACACAGACTCGTGTAGAGATTGGGTATATTGTCTCTATCTTTACCCTGCTAACGATGTGACTTTTTGTCACTTTGTGAAAATAGAGAAAAACAGAGACCAAGGGTTTGTTAGTTGTTTCTTTACGGTTGCTAAATTTTAAACAACATTTTGCTTTGAAACTCTGCCAACTTGTTCTTCGGATCAAAGGAAGTAAAATGGTATGAAACCTCCAGTCTACATAAAAAATTATCGATTTGCAGGGTTTTGTGTATAAACACTGACGAATTGTAACACCGCCGAAAAGTGTTGGTACGGCTCAGAAACTCCAGATCAGATTTTGTTTGCACTACAGCAATGGGCCACACAAGGTTCCCATGAAAGGGAATTTTTCAAAGGCGTTGCCAGTCCTGTTTATCAACTTCTGTGGCGCGTGACCGTGTACTTTCCTGAGGCTCATAGTCTTTGTTATTGCACTGTAAACTTCAACATGCCCCGAACCGCTGGAATAGTCAAGGCAGTTTGCATGCTTTTCACAAAGGTAACAGGCCAGGAAACATGACTGACTTTCATAGCCCGTAACTCCCATGTTAAAGCAGATGTCTTAAGCCCAGTTGGATGAAGGTTTATCCCTGCAATGTTTGCACCGGGGAATAGATATTGGGTCCTCTCCCCACTTTCTGGTGGTGGTGGGGGAGACTTTGACATTTCTTGCAAACCAACAACTAACACGTATTCAGAGAGAATATACAAAAGCTTGAAATTCCGCCATTTTCATGAAAGGTTAAGGGTGAATTCCACCAATTCAAATCCCATTGAAAATAGTGTAAACTCAGCATCGGTAGGGGTTCTATGGCATCCATACTAACATCTCTGGGGTTTCTGAAACAAAATGAAATTATTGTCTCCTCCCTAACCTTTTGATTCTTTTCACATTTTAGTTGATTAACCAATAACATTTTCAATTATTCACTAAAACGAAATAACCCCAGAAAAGTGATATTTCCAAAGTCTGCATGCAGCCATTTTCAAGGTGGAATCCCTGTGCTTTCTTAGGCATTACATAGGACCAGCTTGCAGTCATAATTTTTTTAATCCATTCTGCTCTAATTTGGAAGCCCAAAGAACCAGCGAGTTGATTCTGGCAAAGTTTTACATGTACACAATGTTACCCTTTAGGGGGGTCAAGTTTTCTTCTTTTCTTGTTCAAACGAAACTGTGGATGTACGTGTACTTTTCATGCTCAAGGGATGCCACTATACACGAGATGTACGTCTTCACAGTGATTAGCTCCTCTTACTATCTTGCGGTGCCCGGCACACCCACCCAACCCAATTGTTCAATTATTCAGGGCTGGAAAATTTTGATAAATTTGCCCCTATCCCTCCAGACGGAGAACAGATCTTCTTCGGCCCAAGAAACACGAGCACCCCTCTTTTACTTGTTAAAACTGTATTTTATCTAACCAGAAACGGTACATGCTGAAATTTAATTATTTATACTGGAAAGGGTTATAAACTGAGTTCACGGAGATAAACTAGGGTGGGTGATATTTGAGATTGAAATACTATTCTTCAGAAGGAATTTTTTTGAATTAAGAGTATGATTGTGATGCAGTATCACACACAATTGTATGCAGCTGCATGATCCCCCGCAGTGCATAAAACATTGATATCCGTTTTCGTTTCACCAAATGACATGTACAAATTTCATACCCCGAACATTTACCGCCTGAGTACTGAATAAAGTCCATTCGCTTGTTGTTTTGTTCTTGAGAGAGCAAAATTGACACTTTAAAGCAAGTGTTGACGTTTTGACGTCCTTTAAACGCCGGTAGCACTTCAGAACGCGTTGTGGTGGTAATGCAAATCAAAACACGTTGTGGAGTTCATTTTATGAACAAAGACGTGTTGATGCGTTGATCAGTTCATAAGACACAATGACATTATTGGGTGTTATACGGTTCGTAAGTGTGACGTCACTTCATTTTAAAGCACGCCCACTGCACACGTGCACTGCACATAGGGTTACATACATTGATAGCCATTTACATGGAACCGGAAGTTAATTCGCAACTTCAGCGATCATCCAATGGGAGCCTGCAAATCGTGGTGCGTCTGCCTTTGTGACGAAGTCACTTACAAACCGGATAACAAGACACAAAAACACGCTGATTGGGTGCTAACACTTTCTGAACACCAAAATATGTTTGCTTCCAGAAACGAAGTAACGGGCGTTGGTGTTTACAATGTAGAGACCTCAAGGAAGAGATATTAATATTAGGAAACAATATTAAACGATATCAAGAGATTCTTACATTCTTGGTATGAACAAAATATCGGTGTTGTGTCTAATAAAACATACGAAAGAGTACATGTACATGGATATCGTAACAGAAGAAACGGTTTCTCATATATTGTATAAAGTCACATAGCGCCCCCTTACTCTTTTGAAGTTCCCATGGCATGGTACGTCATTCTCCCACAAACCCCTCATCCCTTCCGATTTCCAGCATAAACCCACCCCCAATCCCTCCAGATTTCCAGCATAAATTTACGCCACTGGTTGGCTGAAACAGATCAAGGTTTTGCGGTTACTTGATACAATAATCATCTGAGCATTTCGCATGAACGTCACTCAACACATGCAAACAGACAAACTGCCTAACAAAACTGCAGAATCTGGTTGACCTGTGGAATTATTCCTGCTATTAGCTGGTCTCCATCTCTTAGGTGAATTGTTTTGCTAATTGCCGGATTTGATACTGTCTACTTGAATCGTATGTTCAAATTTAAGTTTCAAAATCACCTTTCAGGATTTTTTAGCCTATTTTCAAGGCATGATAAATGCATTTCCCCTTTTTGGCTCCAAAATAAGAACGGACTCGTGAAAGTTACACAAAACCTTTCACAAAATGTGTGGACTTCTATTCTCGGCCATTTGAAATTCAATCAATCACTTAAAAATCACTCATGAAGGTCAAGTGCTCCGATTCCACCTTTTTTACCCCATAATGAGAACTGATGAATGAAGCTATTGAAGCTATTCGTTTAAGGCAAGACGATATCTCGTCACAATAAACTCTTTCCCTTCTATAAGTTGACAACAAACCACATTTCAAGAACGGGTTCTATTGGAGTATCCGCTCGCCTTAAAGGAACCAGAAAATATAAATATTTCGATAAATTTTACTAAAACCCTTGAAACTGCATCTTTGGGTTTCAATTAACCTTATTTAAAATTTTTGTTTTGCAATTTTAACCTATATTTTGATGCTTTTTGCTTTTTATGCTAATGCTATTTTCATATTCATGAGTAGCACTATGGTGTCATCCAAGGCACTGAATCTCAATGTTACACTGATTTGTGCACAGAAAAATCTAGGTTTTTTAACCACTGCTATGGCAGATTTCAATTTTCTTTGACAATTTATTGCTGTGTAAGTATATGGCAATAATCCAGCGAAAGCTTTTTCACAGAAATATTCCCAGATAGCAAATTTGGGGTTCACAATTTGAACATGAAAACATGCAACCTGAACCACGTCTTCCTGGATTTATATCAAATCACAAGCGTCCTCACTTGTCCAGAAATCCTTGGTCAATTTTTAATGTTTGAAAAGTGTACTGTTCAGTTCATGTATCTTAAAAAAATGTCAAACAGTCTTCATACATGGAAGAGGAGTACAGAGATACACAAAAAGTGATTCTAAGAAGAACTCACGAACATGGATCCAGAAGTTCAGAATTTATTAATAAAAACACACAACTATGCAGCGTTTGGTAAAGCGGTGTTTTTACCACCCGTTAGCTGTCATCCCATCCGTACAGTTTTACCATGGATTCCAACCGTCTACGACAGAATTTGGCTTTTCTCGGCACGTTTGAAAAAAATGGCTCGACAGGACTGGCTCTCGCGGTAACTCACCCCGACGCACTTTCTCAATGATTGGTATTAGATGGCAAAACCTTGATGGGTCAAAAGGACTATAGAAAACTTTTGTAGTACTGACACGCCCTTTATATTTCCATTCGAAATACTTGGCATATAAGTCTGGACGAGAGTCCAACAGTTTCAAATAATCTGCCAATTCTTTGACAGTGTTATAATCCCCGACGTAGATGAAGGAATTGGGAGGGAGAAACTCTTCGTAGTCTTTCCGTGAAGCTCCATACACGATGGGGACCACGCCTAGCAACAGCGTTCTGTCCCACATTTTTTCGGTGATGTACTCCTCGCATTCAGAGTTCTCCAGAGCCAAATAGAATTTGTACTTTCGCACCAGTTCCTCGTTGCATTTGGGTGATGATCGGGGTTCGCAGGTGAGGTTACCGCAGCGTCCGTACATGTCAACCGGGATGTAGCTCTGTAGTTTCTCAACAAATTTTAATCGAGGCCAGGAGGTGATTCCACAGTTGCTTCCCATCCACAGCACCAAATCCGTCTTTCCTTGTACCCATTCATCCACCGTCCTTGTCTTATTAACCATAGGCTTCCCATGTTCGTAGAATCCAAACTGTGTAGTGATTTCCGATGTGCGGTGATAAGTCCATGCAGCGTTGGCTGTAAAGCCTGATAAGCTGGGTACATCAATTTCTTTAATTCGGAACTGTGGAGCAGTACTTATGTACGGTGTTTCCCAGGAGCAAAAGACCCAAGCCTGTTTGGGGTTCATGCCAACAGGAAGAGACCGAGGCGGAACTAATCTCAGGCAGAGGTGAAAGAGCACAGCGTCCATTCCTTTGAATTTTCTCTTCTCATCACCAATAGTTACTGTCACGGTGCTGTTCCCGCCGCACTGGACGGAAACTGGGATATTTCTACGGCCTTTTTTTCTCGGTGCTATGTTCCTGAAGGTGTCGGATCTCTCCTTCAGCAAGATGCCTTTCCTGTCGTAGATTTGCACTTTATAATTGCAGGGATCTCGGATCTTTGAAACCAGATTGCCCATTCCATCGAACTTGCCCACTGTATCATTAGCTGCCCGTGTGAAGATGCTCGACCTGGGGCGGGTGTTACCTTTGCTTACTAACAGAGGTGGTTTGGGTGGTGTCCTTCGATAGCTGGGGGAACTGATCACTGTCTTTTCCATCGCCCGAAGTCTGATTACAATGTCTACTCCAATCATGGCAACAGCTAGAACAGTCAAGAGTTGGATTCTCTGAAAAGTGAAAAAACAAAGAAAACCGAAAACTTCAGAATAACGAAGAAAGGGGGAGGGCTGTTGCTTGATCTCAGCGAATATCTTACATCGAAGATGTAAAGGTTCATCCGTCAGCATCACGTGGAGACATTCATTTTAGCAATTATATTTTGAAAAATGCGTACATTAACCAAGGTTTAGGTTCAAACTGTGAAATTTGAATTCACTTGAGGGTAGTAAGCAAAGTTTTGCTGTCGGTACGTTTACGCGAAGCAATATGCAGTCGTGGTCAAAGGTGTACAAAACCTGTACTGCATTTATAACAGATACAAACTAACAGGTTACAGATTCTGCAGCTCAACAAAGAATAGTTTGCTCTTTTTACGTCACAATTGGGCTCTTTCTACAAATGGATGCTCAAACTATGGCCGGCCTTTGGTGCGAAAATTGAAACAACAATACACACAGTGGTAACACTCCCATCCAGCACCAGATGGTGGTACACGTACAACTGAGTAATAAATACAAATCCTCTTTAACATTAACTGGGCAAATAATTCGTTTGGAGCGAATTGGGAATACAATTGATAACAATTAAAGGGTGTTTTTTTCGCAAACTTTGGCCGCCCATACAAATTGTAGGCAAAATATGAGTGGTTCATTACGAATAGGCCAAGGCGAGGAAGGAAAAGGCTGACTTAGAAATTATGACACTCGGGCCTTCACTTCATGGGCTGCATAGAAATATCTCTAGCAGTGCAAGTGTGTGCTCGTGTCCGTCAAAAACAAGAGGTGAGGTGATCGGGTGGCGACAGTAGTTTGATCCTTTTATCTGTACCGTGTGCATTATATTGAATCTGATATGTTGCGCATATATTGGACTCAGGCTTTTGCTGAGTGTGCCGAATGTTTAGGTCCCCGGCCATTGGCCCTTAAAAACTGTACCTTAAAGGCCGGATTGCGCGGCCATGGAAAACATCAGCCTGTAATTATCATTTTAATGTCTGTCTCACATCCCTTATACGGGTCCACCCGATATTAGTTTTATCGACGAAATGTTCAGATAACGACCCGAAAACAGTGCGCCTCTGAGGTAATGGCATACGACATACAACACCGCAACTTAAACCTGCAACTTTTTTACTTATGTCACTGGCTTGAATCACACTTGCTGTAAACATGATTGGAAGCGTAGTCTACTAGCGAACGCCCTCTGAGGGTTGTACCTTTAAAGTTGATGTTAGTCGACTGATAATGACACTGTCACAGCGCAAAATACATGTCACCTGTTGCATTTCCTTCTTTGAAATACGATGCAGGTAGGGACACACTACCTCGCCTATGAGTAGGTACAAAATAGGCAACGTGCCTTTCGCGCGAGTTGATACCATTTACATTGACCGCTTTTATATGTAAGTGTAGTAAATCATCAGTCGAGATTCAGTTGTTTGCTGCTGGAGGGATAAAAGACAATTACATTGCCATGGCCTGAAAACCTGTCAATGGAGAAGATATCATCCTGTCCAATGACGTAGATTTGTTTTCTTCATACACCATAAGGAAGATTGTTATATCACATACTCTGAAAAGTAAAACCGACTTAGCAATAGGCCTAAAACAATAATCACTCTGCAGGGCAGTCCGTAACCAAGTACACACAGAGAGAGAGAGAGAGAGAGAGAGAGAGAGAGAGAGAGACCAACCGATAACCATTCACTTACCAGTAGCCTAGCCATCCTGTCTACTGGTGACAAGAGGGAAACTGTCTACAGCTGATCACCGACAGAACTCGAGTTTGATCTTTCCACTTGATAGGAAAACTATAAAATACCATATGTATATACGCTTAGTATGTAGACAATGTTTACTGGCCCGACACACCTGCAACCGTGGCTGACGCGTGCACTAAAACTGCGCGGCGCCAACTATGGCTGTTGCTGTCTGCGGGTAATTCTTTATGGCAGTGCAGCGATGTAACAAAGACCATTTTGCACTTCTCCTAAATGTAAATATGGACCCATTAGGCGTACGAATATTTTCTCATCACTAAAAGTCCCTCTCAAGGTAAAGTAAAGAAAAGTTGAAAGTGAAGAAGTTTGCAGCAGCGCAGTTTTCGAGTTGTGTGATTCGTTGAAGAACAATTGTTTCTGCTCAACGTTGTAGCTTTGTTCGTGAAAAACTCTACGGTGGCCCATTAACGACATGTAGATGTTAACTCTCAACATATATCCACCTTCAACTTTGCCATATGAACGTTCAACCTTCAAATGTGCGTGTTGTACAGTAACTGATACTGAAATGTGAGCGTTGCTCCTTTGCGATGTGAAAATTCGATCTTGGCCGTGAAACCATACTCGACATCGACGTTGTACCATCAATATTCGCAGTTTGAGCGGTCATATATTGACCGTCAGCCTTCAACTATGCCAAACATAGAATAGACGAACGATGCTTCTTTGACATGAACGACTATGGCCCTTGACTTGTGAATGAAATACGGTGTTATCGTACGATTAATCAGTAAAAAATTAGGTTTCACATGACGACGTTTTCAGGTTACGAGTATTATTGATTCCAGGACGAAATAGTTAATTCATGTAGTATTTACTTGCAAAGCATTATCTGGGGGAAGTCTGTGATTGTTTACCAGTTTTGTAGTAGGATTCACCTTTGCATGCTAATAGTCGACAATTTTTCTCTGTATTCTTAATTAACATATACACAACGTATTATTTGTTTTCATACAAATTTTGATTCTGCTACAGTATAGTTTTTATGCATTTTCGAAAGGCAGTGTTTTGATTAATTCAAAGGAAAGGGATAAATCATCTTCAAACATCTTCATTTTTATTTATTTCCCTTGAGCTGCTTTTAATCGTCTTTGAGTTTGTAGCAATTAATTTGGAACGCAGCAGGAATCTGATTGGCTTAACTCTTTGCAAATCAATATGCTATGGCACTGATTTGCCAAACACCTCTGCGGTCCGGGTTCAAATCCCGACTCGGTCCACATGTGGATCTGCGAGTGCCTGATTCCGTGGGTTTTACCCAGATGTTCCCTTGGGATTTTCCTCCCACCTCTAAAACTACAGCTGTTTCTCATTGTCTCCTCTCTACAGGTTTCTTCAGGCTTGCGAGCTCAGTGCCCAGGGTGCTTCTGAGGAATCCTTCGTGTTATTACTAGAAATGATTAATAATGACAATGTAATAGTTTGAAGCTTCCACCAGGCACTTAGATGCACACAACTGGTTTTTGGACAGTGATGATGCTCGTTACATAGTGGGCTGTAGGGGAGATTTATGACTTTCAAAAGTTCGCAAAATTTAAATTCGTGATGTTAACGTTTAACATTGAACTCTGAACAATTGACGTTCAGCGTCCCCATGTTGATCTCTCCGTATGTTGGCGTTGTGGGTGTTTCATATTGTCCGAAAAGCCATGCGAATGACGTCCAACTAAAAATGCAGGCATGTCCCGAGTAATTACGCATTGCACTGATGCAGTAAAGATTCAACTTAATGCAATAAGCCGCCATTAAGTGCCTAGCTGTTACAGCAGCGAGTTATTGGACATGCTTTACCATAACACGTGCAGCGTAGACTGTGGGCTGTTTAACGGTAGATTTGACTTTCAAGTTTGCCAAAGTCATGCTCTTGGTATCAGTGTTGAAATGTGAAAATTGAACATTTCTTTATCGATCTTTCCCAGATCAGTTCCTGCAATATAGGTGTTTGATCTTGTCTGAAATACAGAGCGTCCCCACATAAGGCGACATTGCCGTGGCACTTATGTTGGTATCTTTTCTTAACACGCTTAGCAAAATTAAATTTGTGACATGGAACGATAATCGCATGAATTTCAATATGCTAATGATCGCTCGAGCGAGGACACCGTCCTTAATTAAAATGAACAAGGACCGTCGTTGTCATGCCAAAAGGACATCGTTCATCAATGCTATCATGCAGAGTAGAAGGTTGACGGTACATGGATACATTACGTCATGGTGACGAAAATGCACGGCTCAAATTGCAAACGTTATCAATACAGCGTCGACAAAGAGCACTGTTCAAGGTTAATAAAGCAAAACGGGAAGTTCCACTTCGCAAAGGTGCAAAGCCCACGTCACAATGGAATGGAGGAACGTTGGTATGTCGAAGGTCGAACGTTGAAATGGCGTCACCAGGTCACCGTTCCTACTTAAAAGATAAACCTCTGTGTTCATATCGCAAACACCTCATAAAAAAGTTGAAAGTAGAAAACGAATGCGGTTCCCATTCTGTGAATAAATGCAGGGTCCACTGACGTGCTGAATGGGCATAAGCAACGGATCAGTGATTTCGGTATGAATGGGCGTGCCACATCTGCATCCCCGAAGGCACTGGACAATAAACTTACATGCTAAACAGCACAGAGACTGACGTGTACACCAACGCAAAAGACTGTAAATGAAAGTATATCCATTCAACCTTAGAGGTTGAATTAAAACCAGTTGGGTCCAAATGTTTATATACACTCGAACAAAATTAAGTTAACTCTCGTTTGAAACTCTTTTCTAGATAATGATCATCATTCGTTCAATTTCACTAACAATTTCAGTATTGCACCTTTATTTCTATGAGAGGTTTCTGGACAGGTTTCCCCACTTTGGATGACTTTATTGACAAGTTTATTTACGGTGAGACGTAAGTGGTGGATCACAAATTCCATACGGCACATTCGAAACAAGTGACACTGTTTCATTGCCTGTAACTACCGGTACATAACGTAAGTCAGTCTTGTCGAGCAACCATCAATGAGCTTCTAACAATACTCTGAATGGGTTTCAATCCATTCTTTTTAACAGTATTGTAGATTTTTATTGCATCCGGTAGGTGGGTTCCCTCTCGAACATTCTCATATTCAATTCTTCCTTCAAAGTCTCAGTACTAATTTTTAACCTAGGTTTTGACTAGGTCTTTGCAAAACGTCAACCTTTGTTTCTTGGTGGAGCCAGCCAGAAACTGACTTGGTAGTTCACTGCAGGTCGTTGTCATGCTGCAAAGGTCCAGTGACGTCCAAGGTGTATGGAATTCCATATCTGCCGTCGCCCGTCGTGCG